CTTAATAGTTAAAGCAAAACAAAACTAAGAACCTTTTATTTCTCTTTATAAAACTTATAAAGTTTCAGACATTTTCTCTCAGGTCAGAGACACTGCATACAAATCCCTGTTCTGCCGTTCAGTCAGTGAGGCTAAATATGAAATCAGTCTCATTCCTGGAATAATTGCTCAGCAAACAGGATGTGTGTAATCAATTTTTATTATTAATACTTCAATTAAGATTCAGGTACCATATTTTACTTCTTATAATGAGCACAGTTTTACAATGGATGTTTGGAGTTTGCAGTGCATAACATCACTGACAGATGCAGAGTGCCTGTCATGTGCACCAGAGCTGGATTAAATATACGTACATTTCTCTGGGCAGTAACAGTGTTAGAGAGATAAATTGCAACGTATGCCTACTTTACTTTATATGAACAAACACCATTTTGCCTGTTATTTCAGTGCATGGACATATTTTTTATCAATTTTAATCAACAAAGCTTTATTATTAATGCTACATTGCATCTCAGGTAAAGAAAGATTTTTAGTTGGTGAGGTCTACTGCAGAGAATGCTCATGTGTTTCCAGTCCCAATGATTTTACAGTACAATTCCTAATACTCCCATATGATTTGGAATGAAGACCCAAGTGGTCTTATGTTTTTTACACTGTAGGGACAGAAATTTAAATTTCTGTAAGAGGAGTGACTTAGCTGATTCCTGGATCCATGATTTTCTTCTGTGCTAGCTATATCCTGAGAAGGGCAAACAGGAATAGAGAGGGCATCAAAGTAAATCTTCTGACCTATTGACTAATTCACATTCAGGATTTGATGCATTGGTGAAAAATATTTTCCTGTTTCAAACAAAGATTAATTCATAATTTCCACAGTCCTCACGAGGACATTCTAGCAGCTAGTTAAGCACTCTCTTAGAATGTTTCGAATGGAGCTGTTAAGTTGCAGACCTGCCATCACCCATGCACAATGCTTCTCACTGTGGGATACTGCTGGGTGTGGTTTGAGCCCAGTTGTGTAACAATGGAGCCTGTTGTCTTGGATGAAACAGCAGCAGTTTGTGTTTGTGCACAAGGACAGCCCAGGGAGGGAAGCACACAGATAGCTCCGGGGCTTTTGTGGGACGGGTCTTCTCCTCACGCTGTCACTTGCAGCTCCTGTGGTGTCCAACAGCATCCTCCAGCAGCAGGAGATGTGAGGAGATGTGAGGAGAAGGTCTGTCCCACAAAAGCCCCAGAGCTATCTGTGTGCTTTCCTCTCCGGGCTGTCCTAGTGCACAAACACACTGCTGCTGTTCCATCCCAGGTAACAGGCATCCTCCAGCAGCAGCTTGCAGGCTGAAGAGGTATGCAGGCTCTGCCACCTCTCTGTCCCACACGCATCCCTCTGAGAGCAGAGGGCACCGTGTGTAATCCATTGGTGGATGTGTACAGTGCAGATGCAGTGCTGAACATGGATCAGTGGAAAGAGCTGTGCTTCTGAGAGTTTTCAGGTGGCCATTTTTTTTCCACATGCACAAAACTGTAGGTGGAAAAGCAAAATGAGGGGAAAAGCAAAATTTCACAGTCAGCCACCACAAGCTCAAGATGAAGGGATTATATTTTCCATCCTTTGTTCCATGGCTTCCTATCACTGGAGGAGGTTTGCTCCCTCTTAGTCCCTAAGGCTCATCCTTGCATCTACCCCAATAAAATCTATAGAGTGGGCTCTCAGATCCATGTGTGAATATCTAATGGTTACTACTTAAGGAAAGCATGAAGATGAAGCATGAGGCTGATGTTTGTGTCTGAGATTTCCTCCTCTTACTTTGATGCTGGATTTCATGTCTCACTGCCATATTTCTCCACAATATATGCAGTAAATCTCTGTACCTTCTTTTTCACAAGTGGGCCTCTTGCTGCATCAGTAAGCTGAACAAGGCCAGATTCTTGTTTTGAACTGTTTAAGATTTAAGATACATGAAACTCCAGTATCATGAAACTGTTCAGGACAAAAACTTAAACGAAAAAGAAAAACCAAACCAAACAAAAAACCAAAAGCCCCCTCCCCGCAAAAAACCCCCACCAAATAATAAAAAAAACCCCAAATAAACAAAAAAAAACCCCAACAAACAAACAAAAAACCCCAACAAAACAAAAAACCACAAAACCCCCCCCAACCAAAACAAAAAAAACCACCCTCTGAACGATCACAAGATTATTGTTCTCTCTCTGTAGGGAAATCTGTTTAATCTCTCATAATGGACTCTTCTCTGACTAACCACCCTGGCCTGGTCGCTGTCAAGAAGCAGACTATGCACAGTCAGAAATAGCAGCAGGAAAGAATGCACAGCAGGGAGCACATTCTTCACCTTACCCCAAAGATACTGAAGAAACAGAAGGGGAAACCTCCTTCAAATTGGAACTGAACCACCCACGGCAAAACTTTCATCAGAAAATACCTGTATAAGACCCCAGCTTCTAATCTGTGTCAGACTTAATGTTAGGATTCACTCAGAAATAAGACATTTGGTAGAACTATCTCAAGGATGTATCAAAGAGATAGTTAATTTAGTGTCTCATACAGAAAGATCTCAATTGTTAAAATAATAGGCTTGACGCCTGACAGTGGGCATAGTGCAGACCCCAAAAAGCCACACGGACACCATCTGCACCTGTGGAGGGTGCAGCCTCTCCTTGCTATTACTCAGGGAAGAGAAGGAGAGACATCTGCACTCGAGTTTATGGTCACAGGCATAACATCAAAAGACAGTATGATCTTTAATGTGGGAAGAAGAGTGTATAATTCATTATGAAGTTTAGCCAACAAAAGACTCTTTTCCCTAGAAGGAATAAATGTTGGTCCTCCCTCTCCTGTTTCTCTCACAAACTTATTTTTTTCTTATTTTTTTCTTTTTTTAGAAAACTGTTCAGTACTCAGACAGCAGAAGCAAAACAACAAGATAGGATTTTCCTCCCTTTCTCCCCCACCCTGACAGAATGATTTTATCACATCATAGCCAATCTAAACAGTGCAGTGCAAATCATACTTTGCATGCAAATGTTAAGACAGTGTTACCACAGGAATGGAGTCTAAGTATGCGGTGAGCAGAAGCTGGCTGCTCTCTTCTAAACAGACCCAAGTGGTGCAGCAAGAAATTCATAGATTCAGGGAGAACAGGAGGAGTACCTCTCCTGTTTTTTGCCACTTAACTTTGACTTTACTGCCCAGAAGGAGACATTTTCAGATGCAGGAAGCCAACAGAAAGTTAGCAGCAAGATTTGTCCTCTTCCCAGAGAGTCAAGTGCTTCAGACCAGCTTCATACCTTTCATATGAAAACAGAATTATCTGCATACACTCCAGCAGGCATTGAGTCTCTGTTTACCATCACTCTTCAGCTTTAGAGAAATAGTAAATGACTCCTTGCCTGTACAAAAAACAGGGTTTCATGGAAAGACAGATTTAGCTTTCTGCCTGCTGCGTTGCCTTGGCCTTTTGGAACAAGACTGCTAAAAACACTCAACAGCTTGTTTCCACGGATTTTATACTATGCCCTAAAGTCACACTATAATCATGTAGCTAGCACTGCTGGTGCCTACATGTCCCCATGCTGCAGACAAGAGCATCCAAGTACACTAATGTACTACATGGCACTGATCACTGCTTCCCAACTGTGTGTAGCTGTCCTGAGTGTTGGAGGTATTCTGTCCAGGCACCTGTGAGAGCATCACAGCAAGCTGTGAAAACAGCTCACTTGTCAACTGGCAGCCACCCATGCTAAAAATTGGGTGCAGCCCTATAAAAGACTTTTAACATACTCTTCTCTGCCTATATTTGAAATCCCCTATCTCATAGTTATTGGGAATTATTAATAATCTTTCACGGGTTCCTGATGGTTGGTGGTATGCACCAAGCACTGATCCAGCTGTGTTTTTGAAACACAGTGATAGAAATTCGATCTAATATTCTTCCCACCTTGGCTACCCATGCTTTGTGCACTCATATCTAAGTGGCTTCAACACTTCATACGTTCTGCTTTTCTCGCTGTGGCATGTCAATATTGTCTGTTTATTCTGCAGGGAACATACAGGCTTTATTTACACAACTGTGAGTACAACAGGGTCCCAAGATTTGGCTGATTGATGGTCAGTGTTCCTGCCATAGATGAGGCTTGAATTTTAGCATTACTCTGGACTCAAGCTGAAGAATGCGTGCATGCACACTCAGGCTGGGCTTCAAAAGCAACAAATAGCAAGGTGACAGATAGCTACTTCCAGCTTTTGGCATGTAAGCAAAGGAATTAGCAGGCTGTAACTGCACAAGCTTATAGAGCCTGGAACAGACTGGCAAGCACTGACGTTTGTGTCAGCTGAAAAAGAAAGCAAAAACAAAAAACATGGAACACAGAACAGTAGTACTTCAGAAAGGAAATCTCAGCTATTTGCAGAATTCCATCAGCTGAAATTTCTAAAGACCAGAAGGGCCCATTTTAAAGTGCTCAGCATGCCCAGTCAGGGCCAGGTTTTCAGTGGAGCTCAGTTCCCATGGAGGCAGCTAAACAAGAGCCAGATTTTTAAAAGCACTCAGTATCCAGCTGTTTCCATTGCAAAAATTCTGTCCCAGTTTTCCAATAGAGCTCAGCACCACCCAACAGGCTGTGTTATTTCAAAAGCTTCCCTTAGTGACTTCACACCTGGTGTCATTGTTTCATTGGCTACCTGTCAGAGGATCAGGACACCTCCATTTCTTTCTTCTTCCACCTTTCCTGAATCCTGATGTGGTCTGAATAATCCGAACTATCAAATAACTGTTCTGGGTATTGTACAAAGAGGGAATATCAAGAAATGCACCTCACAGACTTCAACATGGTGAGCTTCACAGTTCTGCCAATTTACCAGGCACTTTTGAGCTGCAAGAGCCAGCATTATGTTTTGACCTGCCAATCATGCTGACTCACGTCAAATTATGTCATCTTCCAAATGTCTGAGTTTGGAGGTCTCAACCTATTTTCATATGCAGATGAAGTTGAGAGTTTCTTTCTCCTGAAGTCTGCAGAAAAGCAGAAAAGACAGCAGACTCCATGATACAGGGAACACTGTGTGCAGGTGATGTAAACCATTATCTGTAGAAATTGCAGTCTTCCTTTCATCAACAGGTCAATGTGAAGCTTTCTAAGGGCAGGAGTAATCTTTTGCTAGGAGAAGCCAGCCTCAGGGGTCCTAAACTGCACACAGCTCTTACACTTTCTCTCAACCTTTCCAGGAGATTGTAAGAAGTGCTCAACATACAGACAACATGGGAAAGGGTAATATCTTCTGCCCTAGTGCCTACTGTCTGCCATGGTTCTTGTGTAAGCAGAGGGGTGTAATTCAGAATGTGGAATGAGTCACAGAAATTCTCAGAAGGTGGTCTACGAGAAGAGCCAGAGATTCCTTTTATTTCAGTTGTTTGTGTTGGGACTTTTGTTTGTGTTGGGACTTTTGTTTGTGTTAGGTTTGGAGGTTTTTTGTTTGGTTATTTGGTTTGGGTGGGGTTTTTGGGGTTTTGGGGTGGTTTTTGGGATGGGAGGTTGCTCTTTCATGTGAAGATCCAGGAGACAGAGAGGGAAGGCAGTAAATTGACTTGATTAAAGAAGCAGCCCACCACATAGACAGGCTCAGGCTGTGCATTCTTAGGCATGGGTAGCTGAAGACACTTTTCTCCTTTCAGAATGAGTTTGAAATGCTCAAAACAAACTACTTCAAAGAAGAAAAGACCTGAAGAGCAGGTGAATTTCAGTCTTTTTTTTTCTTTTAAAGATGCTGTTTATTTGAGAGGTAGGTATCTACCCATTTGAAGCTTCTTCTTCTGTCAGTCTTTCCTCTCATTTCCTTGATCCCCCTTGCTGTGTGACCATGTGACACGCAGCCGTTTGGTGAGAATCGAGAGAGATATTGGCAGTTTGGGAGCTGTTGTTCCTGCTTATGTATGCAAAGAACATAATTGCTAAGTGCATCATCTGTTGTAATTTGCACATCCACACACAGAATAGATCAGGGCAGTCTTCCCATAAGGAGGCAGTGCCTTTTTTCCCTCTCTGCTTTTCTGGGCAGTAAAATATCAGGTCTCCTGAACATCATTGCAGCACAGGCTGAACAAATGCCCTAGGAGGTGATCCCTGCCCCAAATAGCTTACACTCTTAGTATAGCTGCAGAGAACCAGGATGGGAATCAGTATTTCTGTAACTGTCTTGCTTCACACACAAGTTTTAAATTACTTGAGAAATAATTTAGGTGGGTCTGCAGCAGGTGTGAGAAGTTAGCAATGCCAAACCCAGCATTACAAAAACACTCTGCAGCTCTGCAGTCACAGACAAACTAAGCAGGAACTGTGTCACTCCCAAAGATTATCTAAGCAAGTGGCAACCATGGAGCAGTCAGTGAATACTGGTTTGGAAAGCAAAAATAGCAGCTGAAAAGGAAAAGTAGGAGCTTTGTAATAATAAGAGGATAAAATATTGTAGAAAAAAAGAAAGAAATCTGGAGAAAATATCAGAGGGATTTCCAGTTGGCCTCCCCATGAATTGTGTTGGTTCTCACTGTCACAGCCATTTGACTTCTCATGATTTTCTGCAGCAGAAGCCAAGCCCGCATGCTCCTTAAAACCTTAAGATGCAAAAAACCCCTTAAGACCTCACCTGAAAGTGCAAACTGCACAGGCATATTAGACACCTCAAAAAACAGCCTTGTGCTTCCTAATCACAGGGAAGGGGACTTAGTGTTGTTCTGACTCCCCTAAGTACACATGCAGCTCACAGTGTGTCTTGAATTCCTTTAATTTCTTCACCAAGCTGTACTTCTTGCAGAAGATTCCCCAATTACTGTTTAGGACCTTCAGCAATAGAACTTCTTTGTCCAAAGACTTTTTTCAGTCTGTGGCAGACCTCATAGATGTTTCTCTTAGGATCCTTTACCCATTGGATTCTGACCATGTTGTTTCAGGGAGCCTCATCTCCTTCCCTGTTGCCTGGAGTGTTATGTCTTCTTTAAAGCAGAGATTCAGAAGAGAAAATTTCCCCTCAGACAGCGGTCTTTGAAACAGCAATGCACCTTGTGTGAACATGTGGAGGGCCCACTGGACCTCCATCAGTGTTGGAATGCCAGTTCCTTCCCAACCCAGCTGTTCTGCCTAGTGGAGCAGGGAGCTGCACTAGTGGATGTTACTTCTGTGCAGCAGCACCAGAAATGGGGGAGCTGGGGACTACCAGTGAACACCAGCCATTTTCCACACGTGTGCTTTCAGGTTATGCTTTACATGTGCATGCAAAGTGCTCTTTTCTTCCATCTGCACCATGGGAGCGTGGCCCCCAGGCAGAGGCACAGCCACTAGAGGGCATTTGAAGGACATCAGATCACTGGGCATCAGGTGTCTGGACAGAGGATGAGCCAGCCGTGCCAGTGTGTCCCTCTGTGCCAAGCTGTGGCATGCAGCAAGAAATCTTTATCTCAGAGCCCTTCTCGTTCTGTCTTTCTGCAGTTGCCCCTGGGCACTCTGAGTTAGTTTGCAGAAAGCATGGCGTAGGTTCTTTCCATGGATGAACTGCTGCAAATGGTCAGCAGCTGAGGTGGAGCAATGCTGCTAAATAGACTACTGAATAACTACACATCTCTTGGATGCATCCTTCAAAATAGCTGTGCATGTAGATATCGGACACAGTTTTGTTCATCAGTTTTAATCAGCTGTCTGCAACCTCCTCATTTAGTTTTTCTTGGCATTAAGTCAGAAGTCCATTATTTTCCTACCTTTTACCATCTCTCTTAATGGAGAGAGCCCTTTTTTTTTTTTCCCCAAGAGATGAATAGTACAGAAACAGTATGGCAATACATGCACTTGCACGGTGACTTTCTGCACAGATGAGTTCTCATGAGAAAAGTTTGCAATGAAGAGCTCCAGGCTGGCATTTCTGACAACCACTCCAAGGGTGTTGGAGAAAAGGGACAGGCAGGACAAGGGTGAACTTCCATTTGCAATGGGCCAACAAATACCAGAATGAATTTGCTTTGTCCTTGTCTATTGTCAGGTTTTTTGTAGTTTAAGAATGACCAAGTGCCTCCTCAGTTATCTCCTCATCAAATTGCTTGGCAAAACTTCAGATGTTCAGGAGTGGCCTTCTGACACCAAGCAGGAGTCTTGCAGAGTTGAGACAGAAAACCTAATGCTTTCCATAGACTTGAGAGAAAGGACGCCAAGCCAGTATTGAGTAACACAGGTCAAACTGTAGAAAAGCAAAAAGGGGCACAGTTTGTCTGTCCCTCAGCCATTCTCAGGTTGAATCAGGTGGACTTGTGGAGGGGATTGGGAGCCCTTTGGGCACAGGTCCAGAGACTCAACCCCTATAAATGGCACAGCAGCACAACACCATGACTCATCACTATGTGATGGAATGCACTTACTGTGGGGTGGGAGTGGGAGTGATAGGCTGGACTTAGCTCAGGACATGCATGCTTGCAGTGATATGAGCACCTGTCTGCTCTTGGAAGCAATCCTGATGGGTGTGAGATAGCATTGGTGCTCTTGTGCTTCCCATTTGGTTGCTATACCACCCTTTTGCTCCCAGGAGCTTGGACTGAGCACATCAAGCTTTATGGTCAAGAGAGGCCCTTTTATATAAAGTCATGCCTTAAATCTCAGCAATAACTCAGAAGGCAGTGCATGGATTATTTTTATGCCGTGGTAGGGACAAGAGATGTTTCTTGGGGCTCAGTAGCAGACCTGTGGGTAGAGCTCAAGAACCCTGATAATGTTATTCCGAGTCCAGCATCCAGCTTTTTTACATAGCAAGTCAGGTTTTACAGGCATTGAGCTACCTGTCTCTATTAATGAATTAAGACCCGTCAAACCACAAACTGAGCTAATTGGTATATTTTTCCCTTAAGAAGAGAATTAGAAAACACACTTGTACTGGGAATTGCAAATGATACATTCTGCCTGAAGGAAAACAAATTATCACTCCAGCAGGAAAACTCACATCCCCAGGGTTCTGAGGGCAACTCATGTTGACTCTCTTGTTTTAATCTGTTGGAGATTGAGAGGAATGATTTGAGACAGGAAAAATGGGGAAAATTCTTTCCTTGTGTTCTCTTTCTCTTTTACATGACTGTCACACAACAGGTGATGAACAGGCTTCCTCAAAGTCATTATGGTAAATGCAGATTATATTTCATACACAACAGACAGTTGCTGCAAATCTTGACTGGTACACTCTTCAATGACATAGTGGCTTCAGGGAGGCCATTGATGCCATTGATGTTTAAGTAATAGATTATATCTTTTTCCTCCCACAGCATAAGGTGTTGTTTGAAAGGAGAACTGAACTAAATAAAGTAAATAAATAAACTAAATAAAATTCCCAAAGTGAACAGAAGGCACTATATTTACGTAGTTAAAATTGCTGGTGGTTTAAGGATGGCTTTGTTCGTCTTAGGTTACCTTGGTGACACATAGGTGGGAGAAGAGTAATGTGATCCTATAAGCCTGCCTGCCAGAAGAATGTGGTATTTTCCTTGAACTGCTATGCAAATTCTGGAATCCACCTTTGAAAGCCATCTGATCACCTCTTGCACGAATTTGGGCTATTGCAAGGATACTCCAGAGGCTGTCTGAGGAGAGGTTGTCTGAGAAGACAATTCACATATGTCCAGTCTTAGACACCAAGAGAGGACAGGAGCTTCACAGATTACATTTCAACAGTGACTTCACAAGTTGTCAAGGCTGCACAAATACTGGATTTTAAATTTGAAAATAGGTGTGGAACCGTAAAATACCACATTTGTGGAATCTTGGCTTCTGGCAGGTGTCTTACCCTGGTGATGTGATGTGGACAACACTGCCATGATGAATTCTGTGTGCACAGGTTATTTTTGCAACATCAGACAGGAAAGGAACAAAGTAGAAACATACTTTCAGTATTCAGTGCAAAAAAATCCTGTGTTTAAAAGGTGTATTTCTTCTCTTATATTAGTACAAGCATGGCAAAATCTGGGATACAGAACTTCCAAACAAAAGTGTAAGATTAGATTCTGCAGGAATGGATTTTGTATATAAAATTTTAGTCTTCTGCATAAATTAAGTCATGATTATTACAGTGGAGTTATGGCAAAGTGAATCTACTGGATGTATAGAAATTATAATTCTTAGGAATACAACCCATGGCCATCAGGGTTACATCAAGACAAAAAAAGGCTGAAGGGGAGCTTTGGTCAGACAGTAAATACAAAATAAACATACTGTACAAAAACTTCTGAATAAGCATATAGAAGCTTGAGCAATTTCTTAAGACATCTTGCTGACCTGTATTAGCAGGGAGGGCTATTATCCTTATAAGACAAGATTCAGTGATGGGCCCATATCAAAGTATTTATCAGTATTTGTGTATTTGTTCTAAAGCACTTAATAACACTAGTTGAGATGCCTGTATGTGGGTACATCACAATTTTAAAAAATTAAGCAAAAATGGGCATCCGGCTTCCTTTAATTCAATTTTTTTTTCCTTTGGTGGTAATATCTGCTGTCATAAGATAATAATGAGTTCTACTATGCTGGCTTTGAGAATAAAAATGTAACATGTAGCCCTGAACTTTTTCATCTTCCTGGTAGATAGGGTGATATTTGGAGGTGTTTATACTTGCCGAAAAAATACCTAGTTTCCTAACTGTAAATGTATTAGCTACTTGTAGATTTTAAAACATATGCTAAGCAGCTGTGAGTATGTAGGGCTAATGCCCTTTCAAAAGCCTTAGCCTGCTCCCCTCTCCTCATTC